ATTGGTGTCCACAGCATAAGGTGACCTGACTACCTAGATTGTTCTAGGAACAAGGTTGATTAAAATGACCTTTGTCTTAGAATCTGAGAAAAAGGGTAGAGATAAAACACTGCTGACAGACACCAGCCCACAGTGTCCGAGGCATCATGGATGAGATATGAGACATTCACACGGACTACTGAGTCCTGTGTGGAGGAAAAGGGATGGCCTGGCTACCCTCTCAAGGGGAGGGTGCCTCTGAGCGTCCGGCCACTCTCTCAAAGGAGAGCACCCCAATCCTTCCCCTCACAGGGTTTTTACTGGGTGTCAATTTGCATGGGGATACAGGTAAAGTTCATCGATCACTCTCAGGCAGTAAGGATCAAACAACAGATAATGTTCAAAGAACTAAAACGGGCTCCCACTGAGGTGGGAACTTATCACCTAAAAAACTGCAGAACTTGAGAAGCTAAATTCATTTTCTGCCCAGGCCTTCATATTCTAATTAAGAGCATCCTGCTCTGGCTGGCATAACTCAGTGGATTGAGTGCGGGCTGCAAACCAAAGTGTTGCAGGTTTAATTTCCAGTCAGGGTACATGCCTGAGTTGCAGGCCATGACCCCCAGCATGTGCACATTAATGTTTCTCTCTCTCCCTCTTTCTCCCTCCCTTCTCTCTTTAAAAATAAATAAATAAAATATTTAAATAAACAAACAAACAAACAAATAAATAAATAAATAAAATCTGAAAAAAAAAAGAGCATCCTCCGCAGCAGCCTTTGCAGAAATTTACATATTCCTTTTCAGGTCTGATCATCCCTGGAAGTTTGCAGTCCCCAGTGTGGACTGCACCACCCCTTGTTATTGTCACAGGCTTGAGTCAGGCAGAGGAGACAAAGGCAGTTTGGAGATTTGGATGTCTCTCAGGCAGAATGAGGACTCAGGGTTTGTCAAAGCCGAGGGGCGAGAGTCTATCACCCCCTTTTTCCACAGCCCCTCAAGTCCTTCCCTGGGGCCTCCTTGTGATCATGCCTGTCTTACATCATTCCCTCCTTGGGGAATTATACCCATCATTGGCTAACTGATCAAGCATTGGGGGACAGACAAGGAGCAGAAACAGAGTTCCTACCAGGGAAATAAGCTAATCTCTTAGTGTCTCCTAGTCCAGCGATCTCTCACTCAGCCTTAGCCACGGGGGTTACAACTTCCTGAGACCAGGCATGATGGACACCAACACACTGCACCTCTGCAGCAGCTTAGCCAACAACTGTGTTCTCATTGTACATACATTTTCACTCACTCTCAAGGAACAAGTTTACAGAGATTGTAAAAATATTCTGTCGTGAAACTCTGAAACTCCTATAAACACACGAGTCCCTGTCATATCAGCCCCCCACAGGTCTGCACTGGAAGACCCTGTTCTGTGTTTCCTGTGACATGGATCTCAGGTATTGAGATCCATGGATCCCAGTGTCCTGGTAACCAGGTGCACTAGGCAAGAAAAGTTATGAAAGATGACATATGGGATAAGAATCAAGGGAAAGAAAGAGATGAGAATCCTTTTGGGTTCTAGGAGTCTGAAGAGCAATGAAGGTTTGTACGATTGTGCATATGAAGTTACCAGATTTTATCCTATAGTTTATTTCAATTCATATATTTTCCCCTCCTTTGTCTCACCCCATTTACCTTCTTCTTTCCTCTCATTGCTTTCATTCCAGATTTTGTTTTTTCTCTTTCTACAACTTGTTTCCATTCCACATTCTTACTATTTCTCCCCCATCCAGACATAGGAAACCCATTTTCTTGTCAATGGTCATCTCACTTCCTTTTCCCCCTGTTCTTAAAATGCCCCCGCTCTCTCTCCACATTTAGCCATCTTTGCTAGTTGGTGGTAGGTAGGGTAGTTGTTGTTGCATTTTTTTTCAATTTTATGTAGAGATCTTTACTAATTTTGTGGTTCAAATATCACATTTTACTGGTCCCCTCTCTTTCTTTTTTTTCTCCTTTAAAATTTTAAATTTTGCCCTATCTTTACCTGTTTTTGTCTGTCTGTCTTCTATTTTTCTTTCACCCTTCCTTTTTATTTTCTTCATTCTCCTTTTTTCCCCCTTTTTTTTCCTTTCCCATACATCCCAAATTTTAATTTTTCCCTGTATTAGACTGGGTTGTGTAACTCACTCTTAGTATTCCCTTTCCCTTTATCATTTCAAAATAATTTCCCATCCCTCTAGACATTTAATGAGCTGTATTTATTTCTTTTTTCCCTCTTATTCCCATACCAACTACATTAATTTTAACTCATTTGTTGTTGATAGTACTGTGGTGGATTGTTGTCTTCAATTTGGTTCCTATATTTTTGTTAATTATTTAATATTTTCCCCTCATTTTTCTTTCTCTGACTTTATTTTATTTTATATTATTTTAATTTCTGTTTGAATGAAATGCTATATGCTTCCCTCCTTGTATTCCATTGCACATTCTTCATTCCCTTTTTAAATTATGGTGTAATTTTTACTTTTCCTCTTTGCATTGTCCCAACTCACATTTCTTATTAGTTCTCCTCCCTCGACCCTCTCAAAATCATTTCCCTTTCAGTAACCTATCCCATATCCTCTCTCTTTTTTATAATAGTCTTCATCTACTTACACTCTTATTATATACCATACTTTTCAGAACATAGGATGCACCTAGGTTTTAGAGGAGGAAAATAGGGGAAAAATTGAAGCAAAAAAGTGGTAAAATATTTAATAACATAAATAATATTTTACCAATGTAAATGTAAAATGAGTTCAACCGAAGCATTAACAAACATTACCCATCCCAAATTTGGGGGGATGTGGAAATGTGTGTCTTATAGTCCAAAAATGTGGTATTCATTCATTTGTGTTGATAGTGGGATGCTGGGGGGTAGTTATTCTTGTGCTTTTGGGTTTCTTTCCTAGTCTTTATGATATTGTTCTGGCAGTACATTCACAAAAGCCCATAACACATGGTAGGAGGAATGACCCTCAGTCAACCAGTCAACTCAGTCAACCAGTTGGAAGGACCCACCAAAGAAATACCTCAAAACAATCAAAACCCAATTACACCCAGAGAACCAACATAAGAAACATAAAAACCATTCCTAGAGCATCTCATTCATGTGATTCGAGGAGACTGTACCACTGAATGGCACAGGCCTCCTAATGTAGAACTTTTAATCACAAAGTCAGGAAGTCAAAACAGATCAATTTAAGAAGCAGAAGCAAACAAGAAGAACCAAGCAAATAATGGGAAGAGAAAGAAACAACCACAATTGAAAGGAAAGGGGGAGTCCTCACAAGGAGTACTAAATGAAATAGAGGCAAGTCAATGATTAGATATTCAGTCCAAAACAGTGGTTATAAGGAAGCTGAATGAGCTCACAGAGATTTACCAAAAACCACAGGGAGACTACAAGGCATGCACTGCAAACTATATAAGCATGGAAAAGGAAATGAAAACAATCAACAAGGGCCAAGAGGAAATGAAGAATATAATTTCTGAAATGTAGAATACAATACAAGGTATTAAAAGCAGGCTAGATGAAACACAGGATCAAATCAGCAAGCTGGAGGACAAAGTAGAAAAAAAAATTCAGAAAGAGCAAGAAAAGAAAAAAAAATCCAAAAGAATGAAGAGGGGCTAAGGGAACTGCTGGACAACATGAAACATAATAATATCCATATAATAAGGACACCAGAGTGAGAAGAAGAGGAGCAAGGAATAGAAAACCTGTTTGAAAAAGCAATCATGGAAAACTTACCTAATTTGATGAGAGAAAAAGCCACACAAGTCCAGGAAGCACAGAGGGTCCCAATCAAAAACAATGCAAAGAGACTCCAAGAGACATTATAATGAAAATGGCAAAATTCAAAATTAATTGCACTGGTGACCTTTTGATTCACAGGCTGAAATCTTAAAAAAAAAAGATTTTATCTGTCTATTTTTAGAGAGGGAAGGGAGAGAGAAAGAGAGAGAGAGAAAAAGATCAATGTGCGGTTTCTGGGGACTGTGGCCTGCAACTCAGGCATGTGCCCTGACTGGGAATTGAACCTGCGATGCTTTAGTTTGCAGCCCGCACTCAATCCACTGAGACATGCCAGCCAGGCTTGTATTACTGCTATTTGTAAGTGGGTAGACCTGAAATGGATATCCACGGGAGTGCAATAATGACAATAGTGGCCATTCTTCAGTGCTTACTGTGTATGGGGTACCTCAATTATATTAGCTCTCTTAACCACCTAAATGAGTCAGTAAAATTCATTACTTCACTAAAGGTCCCTGCTTCCTGTCCTTTGCACATGGTGTCCTATGCCTGAACTTCTCATTCCTGCCCCCTCATGAGCTCTGTTTGCCTGGGCTCACTCCCTATTTGATATTTCTCTTTAAAAAACTTTAACTGATCCTTCATTTTAGAATTCCAGTTATGTAAGGTCATCATGCTCCATATTTTACCCTTTTCATCATTATCACATTTGTAGCTTTTTACTCATGTATCAGAAAACATCAGCCTTGTGCTGACCATCTAGTTGATTCTCTTGTAATCACTGAAAAGAAAACAGACATAATCTCAGTCCTCATAGGCCTGACTTGCCAGTGGGTGGATCACAGTAAAATGCAAACAACAGGGACCCTAATAATGTATGATTGTGACAGGAGAATCAAGAATTGGAAAATTTTAGTTTAGGGTAGTTAATAAGTTTAGTAGGTAATGCATATGTTAAAGCCATTGTTTCAGAAACTGCAGATAAGACCCATCTTAGCTCCTGGGGGAGACAGCCGGCCTCCTGAAGCACTGCTAAAGATCACCTCCTGGAGACAAGTGGAGGCATCCAGGCCATTGTGTTTCAGGGAGAGACAGAGGAGGACCCACCCCTGTGAACAGCTAACTGCCCTGGCCAAGAATACTGCAGTTTTTAAACTAATTTCCCCTGAATTTCAAAACCCCTCACCATACTTTGTTCTCTGTTATAAAAAGGCTGTCTTGGAAGGAAATGTAAGATGGTCAGTAAGGATATAAACACAATGTCTTCTCAGATCACTGGCCCTCTGAATAAAGGGCCCATAAAGATTCAATACCAGTCTCTGCTGATTGGGTTCGGTAAGTGACAGGCAGCATAAAAGCCGGTTTTTCTGGTTTCACTATCTCTCACAGAGCCTCCTGCCTCTTCTGGTTCTTTCTGCTTCTTACTCATGTGTGGTTAGCTTTCTGTCCACCAAGCCAGGTTTGTGGGGGACATCTCCATTTGAGGGGACTTGTAGCTCAACACCCTATTCAGTCAGTTTATTTTATGAGTTCATTACACATTTACAAAATCTACAAATGAACAGGTAATTACTAATCAAAATATCTCCTGAACACTTATACATAATATTTCTTATTGACTAAGAAAATGCAACCATACCACAAAGTTATCGTGACTGTAGGTGTGCTTATAAACCCATTGTTGTTGTAGTGGCATTATGACCTCTATAGAGGATTCATGCTGAAGGCCATTTTTAAACTAAATTAAGTTAACCGTAAAAGTACTTCAATGATACTGAAACACAACAAAATATCTTATTCAGCCATAAATACTGATAGTATTAAAGACTAAACTGAGACATGAGTTGGGGTCACAGTGATGGGGGACTCATCAAAAAAAAATAAAAGAAACTTTGAACTCCTCTCTTAACTGCCTAGAAAATATTTAGATGGAGGACCAATTGAAGGAAGAACACTGACATGCAAATGCCAAGCTGATATTTATTTACCATTCCTTTGTTTTGAAATCTCAATGCATTTTTTTTTTGCATTTTGAAGCCTGTTCATAATGCTTTTTGTTCTTTATCTTCATAATAGCATATAATTCTTAACACTCCCATACTTCTTTGGGTTTCTGTATTTTTCACTTCAGGATGTACATTGGTATAATACACTTTGTACACTGTCTTCTGTTAATCTGTCTCTGCTAATCTGATTAATAGCTAAAATAGAGAAATTGCAATAGTGAGAGAAAAACATTTTTGCTCCCACAGCTGGCTGTCATGATCTCCATTTGAAGAATAAATGGGAACCTGAGTGGCATGGCTCGGTTGGTTGGGCATTGTGCACAGATCAAAAAATGTCCCTGGTTTGATTAGAGGTCAGGGCACATGCCTATGTTGCAGGTTTGGTCCACTGTCAAGCTTCCACACAGGATGTAACCTATCCATGTCACCTTTCTATAAATCATTCAATCACTCGATCAATTAAAGAATATAAGACAAAATAAAAATAACCTTGTACCTGTGAGTAAAAAAGTAGAAACTTGTCAGGAAAACAGTTTGCAAGAGATATCTTGCTCAAGATAAGAGAAAGATGCAGCCTGATAAACATGAGGAGTATAGATCTGTTTCCTTCTCTTAAATTAACATCACCAGCACAGTCCCAAAACTGGTGGCAGAACTCTGTGTTGTTTGAAAGCAGGAAGAGATCCTACTTTAATAACCGGTAAGCCCTAAACAGAAATAATGCCAGGGAAGAAATCAGTCATTTAAAAGATCATGAAAAATTTACATAGTTACTGAGAAATTCTTATACCCCATGTCTTTGAACCCCCAATCATGTTTTTTCCCCACTTCATTCTGTTAAATGACCTTATCACTGGGCAGTTCTCATTTTAGAGCATTAGCTGCCCATTATTTCAAAGTTCCTCTGATATACTTGCATGTGTTTTTTTTTTTTTTTGTCTTTCCCTGCAACCTGGAATCTGTGTGTGTGTGTGTGTGTGTGTGTGTGTGGCTTTTTAGGCATTAGGCAAATAGCTCCACTAGAGGGTAGACAACAGTGTGTATAGATTTATGGGCCTGTGCTTTCATTCCTCCTGGGAGCGGACACACTGCCTCAGGCCTTGCTCTGTGAAAACAAAGAAAAGAAAAAAAGTAAATGTGGCCTCTTAAAGTGTGGCTTCTCATGGAGAGAGGGGAGTGAACATAATATCTTCTCAAATTCCCTGAGCACCTGATATAGGCAGATTGCATACTTTCAATGACTTCTAGCCTCACACCAACCAGATTTTTTCCTATGATGTAAAAGGTTTTTATCTTCCATCAACAACCGATTCTCCAATGGCATGTCCTATAATCCCATGTAGTTCTGACACTGAGTACCCAGAGTGCATGCAGAACCCACAGGTTCAAAACTCAGTAACACAAGACTGCTGTTACTGCTGATGCCAATTGCAAGTAGGGTACCCAGGATACTCATATTCCTGCCTAATCAATTACAAATTTGGGAATTGTCATTACCACCCTTTAGGTATTACAAATCTCTAGAAAAACACACAGAATGAGAAAAGGCTTTATTTGTTATTCCTGGTTTATTAGAAACACATCACTCAGAATCAGCAATGGGGAGGAGGCACAGTGGGCTAGGAGGCATTGGGTGATAGTAACGGAGCTTCCATATGTTCCCTGGTCCCCACCCTCTGAGAAGCTCCGCAATCCTTATGTTTAGGGGTGATTATTGGGGAAGTTTCTTCTTGTTGTTATTATTGATTAAATAGTTGACCATTATTAATTATTTGTAGCTCTTTTCCTTTTAAAGATTTTGGAGAATTGGAGTACATGGAAAAAATACATATATTAAATCTGAAAACCTCAGTGGAGACCTGTGCAGTGAACCTTATAAAGACCAAGATCTAAAGTAACTACACAGAATGGTCGGAAATTAAAACTTAGCAACTGATACTGAATCATGGCAGGTAGTCATGTTTTAGTCCGTTTTTTTTTTATAAAAAACATCAGTCTTTGTTTTGTCTAGTGTCTTTTGCATCTTTGATAATAGAACCTTAAAATGTCAGAATGATATGTTTTTCTAGAACCCTCACCACACCAGAGAAAAGACTAAATAATTTTGCATTGTTATTGTTATCATATTAATCAACTGCTAACTATCCTGTACACATCAATGTAAAACTTATGTCTATTGTTTTAATTTTCATCCAACCCAAGAAATTTCACCTGTTTTGCATCTTCCAACTCTAATCCAGTACCAATAAGTTTTATGCAACCTCCATAATTTTTCCTTTGATTTTAATTATAAAATAAGGTGAAAACTGTCATTCTCTGGAACACTTTTTCAGTTTATTGAAATATTGTTTCCTATTTAAAATTAACTTCTACATTTTCTGTACATGTTTACATATCTGTAACTTTGACAATTATTTGGCACAGTGTGGCAGGATTCCAAAGAAGCTCAGGCCGGACCCCATTATTAGGTACAAGCAGGGCACCCACTGTGACTCACCATCTTGGTAGTGTATCAAGTGAGTTTGCTTAAGTTTTTCTCAGAATAATGGACCTCCCTGTTTTAAGGTAAAACGCTAGAATTTATTTGAGCTACTGTTTTAAGTTCTCAAAGTGATCTTAAAGGTAAAGAGTTGAGAAAAACCAGGCTAACCACAGGAGTTGAACTCTCCCTAACCTGGTCCCCACACAGAGGAATCTTGGATTTTAACCATGGCTTTCCTTTGGAATTTCTCTTTGAGAGTCTGAACAAAACATTGTGCTGGACAAATGAGAGACTGGAGTTGTTTGGCTTTGAAGACCAAAGGCACTTTCTCCCTCAAGGTCCAATCTCGGATATTCTTAGTTGACTAAGAATCTCTGTGCACGTGTCTGAGAGAGTTCCCAAAAATGTGCAGGACCTCATAGAGAATTCCATCTCAACTGTAATGAAATAATTGATGTGAAAAAGGATGCTTACATAAAGGTTTGTTACCTAATACCTGGGAGGAAAACTGAGACACATGATAGAGTTTGATGCAACTCAGGAAGTGACAGCACCTTGGAGCTCAAATCCATAAGCAGCCCACTTAAAGCTACCATGCAGCATCCCTAGAAACTTACTCACACTCTGCAAATATCCAAAGAAAAGGGAAATTGGTGTAAAAAGTCATGACTCCAAGGATAAAAGCTCTCAGTCCCACCCCCCTGATTACTACTCTGGCAGATAGACAATAAATAAGAAGACTTTACCTGCAAATACTTACATAAATGGGAAGATTTTAATATAAGTGGTATCAATTTATGATGGCCAAAGTAGAACTTTTTCACCATTTCACTAATTTCTGGGTGCAACATTTTTAAAAAGGACAGCTCTAAAATTGAATTGAATAAATGGCAAGCACATCTCTTTTGGAAATTAGAAACTTCTAAGAGAAGCACAGATAAATCCTCTCTTCAAAAAATAGTAACAAAAATTAAGGACTCTGTCTGAACTAAAAATGTCTTCTGTAGCTCATAAATGACAGCATCTCATTCTTCCTCCTTTTACATTTCCTTCACTATAGTCTTTGCTCTTAGAGGAATTCTTTTGTTGTTCTGGAATTGCCCTCTTTCTTCTTTTATCCTTTTTTTTATTTCTTTTATATCTCCTCAATACCACTCTCTAATAAACTTTAATCAAATGAGAATAGAACGCAGACAACAGTGAATTCTAGCAGCTTCCTTCTGAAAAAGAAAGCAAGGTTTAACCAGAGGAGAATGAGAGATTTTATGTATGTATATATACATACATACACACACACACACATTCCTAAAACTAAAAAAGAGCATAAAAATCTACCTAAAATTTCAAAGACTTCCTCCAGGACACAGATGGCTTTGCAAAAAAATTAAATTAACTGTTAAAATACAAGATCATGGTTATTCTGATCTGGTCCAATGAATGTACCTACTGGTTTGTGGAAGTAAAGCAACAGATTTACCAAATGAGTTTCACTGGGAAAGTCCTGTAGAGAAGCCTATTCACTTTAATCAGTTTATAGGAAACTGAAAGAAGATTTAGAAGAAGAAAAGAATACAAAAGCAAGCTCATGGTTACTCAGAGAATTATAAGGATGTTTCCTTTTTGCCTTACTAATAATTAAACATAAATGAAAGTTACTACAATGGTGAAGATTCCTAAGGCCCTTGTAGGTACTGAGGTTAGTTTATCTGTTCTTACCAACACCCAACTAAGAGAAAATCTTCATTGCAAGTGTCAGGGACATGTAATCAACTAATGAATGTTCTTAAATCACAACCTGTCTCCTTCCAACAATAAAATGTCATGAGGTAAGGTAGGGTTCTACTGAT